TTTCATATTTTTGAGGACAATTAACATTTCATTGTCCGCTTTAGCTTGCAAATCATTTCTTTTGTAGACTATGTCTGCTAAAGAGAAAGGAAAATTTGAAGACATGGCAAAGGCAGACAAGGCCCGTTATGAAAGAGAAATGAAAACTTACATCCCTCCTAAAGGGGAAACAAAAAAGAAGTTCAAGGATCCCAATGCCCCCAAGAGGCCTCCGTAAGTTATCTTGCTTATTTTTATTTTCAAAATAGTAGAATCAGAAATACAGCAGGCCACGTTGTGGGTTTGGAGTGTGTAATCAGTCTCAGTTAATAGTGGTTCATGTTGGTATATTTTAGTATTGGAAGTAAAGTTCCTGTTGGGTGGGAGTTTTGGCCATAGCATTTGAGTTAGACAGACACTGGGCTCCTTCACCCAATATACCTTCTAAATGTAATTTTGATTCTTTATTTCTTGAGAAATATCTGTCTGAAAACCTTGATTTGCAGAATTTCTTTGTGGAGCTCAACATCAGTCAGCAGTGTATGTTCAGCTAACGTTATTATACATTAAATACTTGTAAATTAGGCTTTGGTGATGAAGACTACTTAGCATATTATTACATTAGCAGCCTGCCCCATGAATGGGAGCAATCAGCAGCAGCTTTCACACAGTAATAGGATACATGCTCCATAGTAAACTTCAAATTCTAAAATTAAATTTGTCTTTGTAGTTCGGCCTTTTTCTTGTTTTGTTCTGAGTATCGCCCAAAAATCAAAGGAGAGCATCCTGGCCTATCCATTGGTGATGTTGCAAAGAAACTGGGAGAGATGTGGAATAACACTGCTGCAGATGACAAGCAGCCTTACGAAAAGAAAGCCGCTAAGCTGAAGGAAAAATACGAAAAGGTAAGAAGTATGGGTTTGCTTGGTGTGGTGAGGGATGTATGTCGGTTGGTAGGTAATTAAACTTGGTACTTCGTGTTACATTTTCTGTTACAGATTTCTAAGAGTTTTGAGTTTTTCCTGTGGCGCCATATGTTCGGTATGCCACTGACACAGTAATCTTAAGTCCTTCTCCAACTTTCAAAAAATACAGATCAAATAAATCGCCAAGTTTTTTTACTTTGATATAATTTGACTGGCAAAGACCATACATTTTAAGCTGATCTTGTTATTCCCCACTATGTCCGTATTGATGAAAATTGGATAGTCACTTTGAGTTCAGTGGTCAGTTATTTTAAGTGGTCAGCACACAATATCAAAATATGCTGAGAAAAGTAATATAGACAATATCCTTCATAAACATACTCTGCTCTGAAACATTTATGTTCCCTCCCTAGATTTCCCAAAACATGAATTTACTATTAGAAAAGAGTCTTGATCTGTACAATAAGTTGACAGAAGGGTGTAACCCCTGTAATTTGACTTGAAATACTAAGTAAAGCTAAATTTTAGCTTATTTAGTCATTCTGGGAAGAAGAAACCCTTTTCTAGATGTTCCTTACCTAACTGCATGCTCCCTGGCAAAAGTTTTTTTCTTTTTCCAACCCGGACAAAATTTCCTACTGTGGATTAGGATCTGACAGTACAAACCTGTAGAATGCTCTTTTGCATTCAGAAGGTGGCAGTGTCTACCCTTTCATCAAAGTCTCTACATTCTAGTTTTAATAAACTAAAATATTAGGATGTGGTACATAACCGCTTCAGTGAGGCATAACGTTGCAAATGTGTGACCACATCATTCCATGAGTTACGGGTTAATGATTATAATTATCTCCTAGTATTTATATATGCGTCTTCGAACTCCTGGTTATTTTATGGAGTAGTCGTGAGTCTGAAGATCGGTGGTATTTTCATGCGACTGGGATCTTGACTTTTTTCCTAAGGTTTTGCCATGTCACTTCCATTTCTCCCCTTACTTAACTGTTTTGTCTTTCCTGCCGCTTTCTCCTGCCTTTATTTTGGAAGGATATTGCTGCATACCGAGCTAAAGGAAAGCCTGATGCCGCAAAGAAGGGAGTTGTCAAGGCTGAGAAAAGCAAGAAAAAGAAGGAAGAGGAGGAAGATGAGGAAGATGAGGAGGAGGAGGAGGAGGAGGAGGATGAGGAGGAGGAAGATGAGGAGGAAGATGATGATGATGAATAAGTTGGTTCTAGCGCAGTTTTTTTTTTTCTTGTCTATAAAGCATTTAACCCCCCTGTACACAACTCACTCCTTTTAAAGAAAAAAAATTGAAATGTAAGGCTGTGTAAGATTTGTTTTTAAACTGTACAGTGTCTTTTTTTGTATAGTTAACACACTACCGAATGTGTCTTTAGATAGCCCTGTCCCGGTGGTATTTTCAGTAGCCACTAACCTTGCCTGGTACAGTACGGGGGTTGTAAATTGGCATGGAAATTCAAAGCAGGTTCTTGTTGGTGCACAGCACAAATTAGGTATATATGGGGATGGTAGTTTTTTCATCTTCAGTTGTCTCTGATGCAGCTTATAAGAAATAATTGTTGTTCTGTTAACTGAATACCACTCTGTAATTGCAAAAAAAAAAAAAAAGTTGCAGCTGTTTTGTTGACATTCTGAATGCTTCTAAGTAAATACAATTTTTTTTATTAGTATTGTTGTCCTTTTCATAGGTCTGCCATTTTTCTTCTTGAGGGGAAGCTAGTCTGGCTTGTGCCCATTTTGGATCACATGGATTATTACAGTGTTTATCGTTTCATAGTTAGCTGATAAGGCTTTTGTCTACACACCCTGCATACTCGAGGGTAATAGAAGTGGAATTTAGACCGTTTTCATTCATACCTGAAACTCCACAGTCTTGATCAGTTGCTATCAAATTTCACATAGCTCAGTTAACGTTTATCAAGTGAAGAGGAACCAACCCACAGCGGCACGGTGTTACCGGAGTCAAACATTCTGAAAGTCTGTCCTTGAAGGACTAAGAAAAATGTTCTAATCTTTACATGAGGACTCTACACTCTTTAACTCCCATTACCATGTAATGGCAGTTATATTTGCAGTTCCCACGTTAAAGACCTGAGAATGTATCCCCAAAAGCGTGAGCTTAAAATACAAGACTGCCATATTAACCTTTCTGTTGACATTAGTCCCAGTAAAGGCTCTGGGAAAAAGGCTGGCTGTAAATGTCTTCTATTTATCTAAATATAGATTGCTAAGGAAATGAGACTCTGTTAAAGGTGTATTAATTGGGCCAACCTCTAAAATTGTGTGCCACATCCAAAACCAGGTTTGTTTTCCTATGTTATGGTTTGTTCCCTTATGAATCAAAAGGACTGGAGGGAAGAAGACACTTAAACTCTGTACTTTAGTAATTATTCAATTTATTTGAACTTGATAACTTCTACCCGAACTCATTCATTAGGGTCATTTGTTTATCTGCTTAGCAGTTCAGGGAACAATTTGGCAATTTTGTGGTTTTTGAGATTATCGTTCTCTTAAAGTGCCAGTGTTTTGAAATAGCGTTCTTGTAATTTTACACGCTTTTGTGATGGAGTGCTGTTTTGTTATATAATTTTGATTTGGATTCTTTCCATTTGCATTTGTTAATGTAATTTCAGGAGGAATACTGAACATCTGAGTCCTGGATGATACTAATAAACTAATAATTGCAGAGGTTTTAAATATTAGTTAAATGGCTTTCACTTAAGATTTTAAGATTTTTTGTTATATACATAATTGAATCATTTCTAATACCTCAGCAACACCATTTAAGTAGTAAGTGTAGGCTGTCACAGTTCTTCCCTTTAAAAATACATAACTTTATGCTTTTAAGTAGGTTAATGGACTGATAAAAACAGGTTTTTTGTCAAACATTCCGAGTGATCTCAAAGGATGCTTATTTTTATATCAATATAAATGAAAAATTAAATTTGAGAATGCTGGGTTAAACAAGATAGTGGTTTTTTTAAAGTAAGGCACAGATAAGTAAAAAGCAGGAATAATTATAAATCTAAAAGAATTTGAGAAGTTTTCTAACCCAAATGGAGGACCACAACAGAAAGGCCAAAATTAATCAAATTTCTAGTCAAGGGGAACAAGTCTTATCTGGGTGACATGGAAGTTTCTGATACAGCTGTAGAATCAGCATTGTCAACATCTGTTGCTAATAAGTGATCCATTTAAAACAATGCGACCTCAAGGAAACTTCTTTAACTTCAGTGGGTTTGTTGTGACAACTACCGAGTTTTTTAAGATGAAAATGGGAACAAGGCTTTCTTGGAGTTAAATGGCTTCAGACGTTTAACAAGAAAAGAAGACAAAACCTCAGTCTGAAAGAATACAGTTCTGTTTAGTGTTTTCACAAAACTCAAGTAAATGGAAGTGGGAGGCAATTTAGATAATGTGAAGCCTTGGTATAACAATGATTTTTTTTTTAAGTTAAGGTATAGGAACTATTTTAATGTTTAGAAATAATCACAGCACTATAGGGTATAAAGATTTAACGCAGAAAAGATTAAACTATGAATTTTAGTATTTTATGCATTTAAACTGGTATATTGATTAACTGAAACGATCCTGTTTTCCAACTTCCCCACGTAAAGGTTGGAAGGTATTACTGGTTAGTAAACTAATTGTTCTGACGATGTTCCTCTGAAGTTGATATTTGCCATGTATTCTGAGGGAAATCTGAAAAGGGAAATCTTGTGTGTTCTGTGTGCCACAGGAGTAAAAAATTAAATGACGAAGGTGACAAGGACCTGTGTGACAGTAGCCAGCCGATAAATGTTTCCCTCACTGCCTTGGGGATTTTAAATACTGCTTAGGTGTTAGGGTCGTATGTATGTAGCTATATTGAAAACGGAGTTTTTGAATGAGAAACAACCAACTAACTCCCTTGCTTGGCATCATGTCATGAAAGTTCAAATATAGGTCAGCTTGGTACAACATGCCTTCTGAAAGGTCCTGAAATAACAGTACCAGCCAGGCACTGCCTATGATGGTATCACTGCAAACATGCACAAATCAAATAGAGCATAAATCTTGGAATTAACTGTTGCTCAAGTGTGAACCATTGGCTAGCAACTAAGTTGTTTTATTAATAAGGGATTGTGGTAAGTTATTTTAAGTATTTTCATATTTGCGTTTTGTCATTTTCAAGACTTGAAATGCCTTCTAAAACCACGTAAAAGCCAGGAAATGATTTGGATACCTATGCAACAAAAGATGCAAGCTAGTTCGTTTTCTTGTCCTCCTAACAGTAAGGAGGAGAACAGTGCTAACACTTGCCATAACTTGGGAAATTCCCTGGGTCTAAGCCAATTTACTCCCTGGAGTAGGAAAGCAAAATGTTGCTCTGTTCTAGGAATGCTGCTATTTAACGTGACACAGAAATATATAACACGCAATGCGGAACGATGCCAGCATAACTTAATATGCACACTCTAGAATATACATGCCTATCTTCCAGTGGGTTTCACTCTGGAATAGTACCCACCAGAAGGAAGTGTAACCATATGCCTCTGTAGGCATGTCCACTGTTGGTGTGAACCTTTTACGTAAGTTGACTTTATCGGCGACCCCCTGAAAAAGAAAGTAACATCGATTTGGAAAAACAGGAGCTAAAATAGACCTGTAAGTGACGGACGAGGAATGGTATGGAAGGGTCGAGTATATGGAGACGGAAAGTCATTAATAATCAGAAAATCAGTGAAAGGGATTTAAAGAGATCCTTATGAATTTTTATGATGTACTTATATTTTCCTCCTTAATCACACTGTTCAGGCACATAAGTGACATTGCATTATGCAATACCCCATGAACGAATTCCTTTACTGCTGGTCATTCATGTTTGCTATTTTTTGCTATTTCTAACTGCTGCAATGATTAGCTGTGTACATTTCTCTTAGGCATGTGTAGCTCTAAGAATTGCTGAGTCAGAAGATATGTGGATTTAAGTTTGGCAGATACTGACAAATTGCCTCTAAAAGGCTGTATTTATACTGTGAAACATTTTAATGATTTTGGTGATAAATCAATATGTTTACTGATTATTCTTTGGCTCCATGAAATATCCATTTTTAAAAGAATTAAAAATACTGAAATGTCATTTGTTCAGAAGCACCCAGGCACAAGATGGCAGAATCAGAATGGAAAGACCGTGGGGTTGGCTATTGGTTATTTAAACTCTAAAAAGTTACTGCATTAACAATATTTAAGCAATCAATTGTGTGAAAATGAACTTTCCCATTTTGGCAACCTCCATCTAAATAGAGATATCTGGTGGTTTTACCTGGGGAGTGCTTTTTCTAGCAGAGATTGTGTGCCAATCTTTACAGAAGCCGCCACCAACAGTTGGGGAAAAGCAAGTGTGGCCACAAATTGTAGTCAAGGATTGTGTGGGCCAGATCCTGAGCATTAGAAGATGCTCTGTTATTTGGAAAAGTGGAATGGAATACGGAGGATTTGCCTTAAGGGGAATGAAGTTGACCACCTTGCTGGAGATGGGCCTTTAGGGTAAAGGACATATGCCAAATGCATTTATAAATGTAAGTGTATGAATAGGTTTAAAGAAAGTGGAATTAAACATAGTCCCTTCAAACCACATAGAATCTCTAATTACAGGCTGTACCATATTTTTGCTCCTTGAGTTTCATGGTGATCATCTTATAAAGTGTGAACATAACCAGGTAAGAGAGTAAAACGCCCCAAAATAAAGTTATCTGTCAGGTGAGATCACTCCCAAAGATAAAGGCAGGAAGCCCAGTCACCACGCCTCCAGTGCAATGCCCAGCAAGGTGTGAAGAGTGAAGGACTTGGAGGCAACCAGAGCAAGGGCTCCCCAACCTGAATTTCAGGGAAGCTCAGGCCTTCTCTGCGGTCTGAAGTCAGCAGGACTGGGGCCATGAGTAGGCTAGGCGCACGCAGGCCGAGAGGCAGGGAGGCAGACCAGAGAGCCCCTTTTCCCAGGCGGAGCCACTGCTTTGGGGGCCGTCACCAGAGCAGGCTTATAACAGGCGAGGGAGGCAACAGGCTGCAAGGGCTCCTTGCAGCCCGCTGTGCATTGTTTGCAGAGTAGTGGGCAGAGGCCCATAGAGAGGCAGAGGCTTGCTCAAAGGACCAGGCGCAGCATCAAAGCAGCAGCAGTGCCAGGCTCACAGTAGGTGCAAAAAAAAGTGTGAGGTCCTTTCTCCTCCCTTTAAGAACCATAACGAAGGGGGTGGAAAGCTTCCTCCCTGCCCTTCACTTGCATGCCTGGCTTCTCCTGCCATGGCTACCATGGATATGTGAGCACAACAAGCACACTGCCAGCACTGTGATTCGTCTCTGGCCCTCCTCCTCGTGGACTCAGAACACTTCCAGACAAAACAAAACAAATACTGCCAATCATATAGCAAGTTATAAGCTACCTGATTCTGAAGGACTGGGGAGCATCAAGAAAATGTGCTGCTTCTGTGTCCTTCGAATGGCCGCGTGAACTTGAGGGAGGTTTGCAATACACCTGCACTACAGTAACTTCTGCAAAACTGTTATCTGTATGATGAATGAAATTTGCATTTGCTGAAGAACATAATTGAGAAAATAAAATCTACGATTTTACTTGTCAGAAAGACTTTAACTGTATCGTGTGCCCTTTTAGTTTTATATGTATAATGATATATAGATTTAATTTAATATATATAATTGTTAAAATTGAGATGAGAATCATGTAACATAAAATTAACCATTTTAAAGGGAACTTCGGTGGCATTGTCTTTTTTTGTATAGTTAACACACTACCGAATGTGTCTTTAGATAGCCCTGTCCCGGTGGTATTTTCAGTAGCCACTAACCTTGCCTGGTACAGTACGGGGGTTGTAAATTGGCATGGAAATTCAAAGCAGGTTCTTGTTGGTGCACAGCACAAATTAGGTATATATGGGGATGGTAGTTTTTTCATCTTCAGTTGTCTCTGATGCAGCTTATAAGAAATAATTGTTGTTCTGTTAACTGAATACCACTCTGTAATTGCAAAAAAAAAAAAAAAAAGTTGCAGCTGTTTTGTTGACATTCTGAATGCTTCTAAGTAAATACAATTTTTTTTATTAGTATTGTTGTCCTTTTCATAGGTCTGCCATTTTTCTTCTTGAGGGGAAGCTAGTCTGGCTTGTGCCCATTTTGGATCACATGGATTATTACAGTGTTTATCGTTTCATAGTTAGCTGATAAGGCTTTTGTCTACACACCCTGCATACTCGAGGGTAATAGAAGTGGAATTTAGACCGTTTTCATTCATACCTGAAACTCCACAGTCTTGATCAGTTGCTATCAAATTTCACATAGCTCAGTTAACGTTTATCAAGTGAAGAGGAACCAACCCACAGCGGCACGGTGTTACCGGAGTCAAACATTCTGAAAGTCTGTCCTTGAAGGACTAAGAAAAATGTTCTAATCTTTACATGAGGACTCTACACTCTTTAACTCCCATTACCATGTAATGGCAGTTATATTTGCAGTTCCCACGTTAAAGACCTGAGAATGTATCCCCAAAAGCGTGAGCTTAAAATACAAGACTGCCATATTAACCTTTCTGTTGACATTAGTCCCAGTAAAGGCTCTGGGAAAAAGGCTGGCTGTAAATGTCTTCTATTTATCTAAATATAGATTGCTAAGGAAATGAGACTCTGTTAAAGGTGTATTAATTG